GCATCACTAAGAGGTTCTCTAAATTGACCTTCTATGTAAGAAGGAGATATGGAGCAAAAAATGGTATTGTAATGTTTATATGTTTTTGTAAAAGTTAATAATGTGGGGATGTAACTATAGTTTAAAGACCTTGACTGGAAAGTACAGTTTTATGTGTCGAACTGAAATAGCTGCTAATGTTGTTGTAATGTTGTATTAACAAATGAACAAGAATGATAATCGATAAATCGCTAATGTAACTTTTTCTTCTTTAATTTCTAGAAAAACAATTACAAAATAAAACATTCAATAGCAGTAAGTAAAATGTTTTCAAAAAATAAAAAAAACATTCAATAGCAGTAGGTTATGTTTCTCATACAATATGGAGAAAGCCACATTACTTAGATAGCAAGCTGCTACACGATCACATTTATAGTATAAAGACTAAAACAAATGTTAGTAATGATTTTAGGAGGTCACAAGAGACGAGAGATGTGTCAAAGGTTCAGAAGAGAAGATCCGTGTAATTGGCAGATCTTTCGAACATTTTTAGCCCTAACTTCAACGCGCTAGTCAAGGAGTTCGTTGAAGTTTGTCTATTAGGTGTATACCAATTTCACATGCATTCACTCTTGCAGCAAACCGAAGAGAGCAAAGGTGTTACATCGTCCACAAAAAAAATCCAATATTGTGTTTTACATCAAACTTAAAGCGCCATGGTTCTTAGCAAATAGAGATTCATATAAATATTTTTGTAATGTCATTAAGAAAGATAACCTAGAGTTGCATCTTTAAGCAATCCTATATTCCTATTACCTTTTTCATAATATCAATCAAAGATTAACTAAGTTTAATATTCCAAATTAATCTTCTTATTTTACTTTTCTTTTTACATTTGAATAAAGTTCTCAATAAGCTATCTCAATATTTATCTTAGATTAGGTGATTACCCGCGCATACGTATTGCTAATATTCGCCATGGTTATACTAATATTCTCAATTCAATACGTATTGCTATCCCCATTTCCTTCTTTTTTTTGGATTAAATTACCTAATTTCTTTATTCCTGAGCCCGAGATTCTAGAGTCGCGATCTTCGCAAGGCTCTATCCAATACTGTGGAAGAGAAAGCAAATTTTAATACTACTCACTTGATCAAGCTAAGTATGCTACTACATATACTACTTACCTCAGCTCTATATCTTAACATAAACGACTGCATTTTTGTTGAAATCCTAGTCATTTCTGCCTGTTAAGAAGAGGTATTTTATTTCTTCAAACCCTTATCTCACTGGGAAAAACCTGGGGAAAATTTAGGAAAGCATTAGACTGATAACTTTGAAGAGATCATGCCAAATCAGATGAGAAACTCACAAGTGAAACAGAAGAACCACAGCTATATGCTCTCCCTGTACGCCTTATTCGAGAAATATACTCTGTAAAACTTTCAGGTATATACTCTGTAAAACAGAATTAATTCACTTTTATTACTACATGATGATACCATAATTCCCCCAAACAAATCACACATGGTGATGAGAAGAAAATGAAAAAGGTACAGTTTTACATTTTCCTAGAATTGTTTCAACTTAGTACTCTGTCAGTTGTATTACAATTCGGAACCACCTCTAGTTTCAAGTCAGGAAGAATGTGAAGCACCTTAGCATGTTCACTGCAAGAAATCTCGGACAAGTAAACACATTAATCAGACCCACAATTGCGAATTTGTAAACTAAATATATCAAGAAAATTGATTTAGACAAATCTGAGCAACCCAAAACTTTTAGTTTTGTATTATAGGTCTTTCTCCTTTCTAACCAGTTTATGCAAGTTCAAAGAGGGGTTTTTCTGGTTTGATAGATTGGGATTGTAGATCGGCGAGGGTGATTTAGGTTGTGGTTCAGGTATAGTTTAGGCTTGTGAGAGTAGCTCGTGGTGGAGGTGCGGCGTATTTGTAGATCGGTGATACTCTGATCTTGCCTTCGAGTTTGTTTGTTTTCTTGCTAGATTGATCCCTTGAAGTCCTTCCTCTGCTCGTCGATGATGTTGATCTCTTTGTCGTCGGACGTCTCTCTTTCGACCTGTGTTTAAATTAGTTGGTTTCCATAGTTTTATCTTTGGCTTGTTGGTGTTTTGTTGCTTGCTTCGGTTTATTGAATTGCCCTTAAGTTGCTTCAATATTAGTATTTCAGAAAGGGTTGTTTATGCTTCGGAGATAGAGAGTTGGTGCTATCGATTCGATTTGGTTAAAACTCAGCTTTGGGTTTGGAGTTTTCACCATCGTTGGTTTATCCCTCTTTGTAATATGTTCAAGACACAAGGTTGTCTCTCGGTTTTGGTTCGTATGTACCGCCCCAGCTGTTTCGCTATGTCGGAGTAGTTTAGGAAGGTTAGATTGCAACGAATCTGCCTTATTATTATGGCAAGGAGGGTAATGAATTATTGTTCCGGTGGTAATTCGTCTAGACTCAAATTCGTAAAGTGAAGATTGGGCTTCGACTTGATCGCTAATATCTCAGTGGTCTTACACTCCGTTTTCCGATTAATTCTTCTTGCTGCGATACTTTTCGACATCTTTCCCTTAACAATATTGGGTCAAGTATCGTTGAAAAAGTATCGGAGGAGTGTATTGGGTTTGCTTATTTTTCCGTGTTGGTCTGATTGCTTTAGACATTCTGTTGTTAGTTATGTTTTAAGGTTGACTTTGTTAGGTGTGTACTACCTTGTTCGGGAATTGATGTTTTTCCGACGGTTTAAGTTTGGATTTGTTAGGGATGCTTGGTTTGCCTATGTAATCAATCTTGTATTCCTTTTTGATTAATAAAATTTTCCGGATGACAAAAAAAAAAGAATATTTTTTGGTTTAAATTTGCTTACAAAATGGATTTTCTCGAACACAAAATGAAAATAAATTATCTTGATTTAAACAAGTAATTTATATTATTTGTAACCGTAAAGTTAGTAATTCAAATCGGATACTGCCCCTAATGTATTAGGTAACCAAGCTCAATCCAACGTCACCGGGCCCAAAAAACCATAACGACACGTGGCTGGATACAAATGGTTAAAACCATATCCGTGTTATCTAAAGAACAGATAAGAGGCGTTCATTGTCGGAAAGCAAAACCAACCAATCATAAAAGCATAACCAATAATCATCACTTCAATTTTCGTTCTTGAGAAGGAAAAAGTGGCTTCAATGGGTAGCTTACGTGGCGCATCTCCGGCCGTTCTTGAAGGTAGCTTAAAGATCAACGGCTCGAACCGTCTGAACATCTCCGGCAGAGTAGCCGTGGCTCAAAGGTCTGGACTTGTCGTCAGAGCTCAGCAGAGTGAGGCGACGCCGGAGACTACTCGCCGGTCAGTGATTGGTCTAGTGGCTGCTGGTGTAGCCAGTGGTTCGTTTGTTCAAGCTGTTCTTGCTGATGCTGTTCCGATCAAAATTGGTCCTCCTCCACCTCCTTCCGGTGGCCTTCGTAAGTTTAATTAACTAATCTTCCAATGTAAGATTATCATTCTCATTTTGTTAGAGCTTAGGAACTAAAACGTGATTTAAGTTAAATTGTCTTGATGAAAAATCAAATGTTTGTAAGTTGTAACCTTAAAATGTAGCCGCTTAATCGGATTTTATAAAAGAATGTAAAAAGTTCATAATTATTAATCATGTCAAGTGATTGCAAATAGAAATGAATGTTTAATCCGGA